TTTCGCGTTGAGAAAAAGTGTTCTAGTTGTAGGGAAGCTTTTTTTTTCTTTTTTTTTTTTGTTCGTTAGAAAAAGGTTCGATTGTTCAGAGGATAATTGAGGGATGGATTTTAAACGGTTTTGTGAAGAAAACGTTATGTTTGCGTCATATTTGGAGTAATGGATTGTTTGATGGGTTGGTTTGTTGTTAGTAAAATTTCTTTGGTATTAATTTGGTAGAGAGAATTAGAGGAAAAAAATTATTTTCGATTGTCGTTTTATAAATAGTAAATAATTGAAATTAATAATGAACGTGAATTAACAATGAAACAATTTTAATATAATTTCTTAAATCATATTTTCTTAGTTTTGCACTTTATTTTTGTTTCGTAATTGAATTAAATAATTAATATTAATATTAAAAAATAATTATTTTTTTATCCATATTCGTAAACAGTTAATAATTACTATTAACATATATTCTCAAATATTTTCCAATGGAACAATTCTATCGATAAAAGATAAACTATCTCATAATAAAATAATCCGTACCATCTATTTTCTTATGAATTCAATTATCTCGTGCAAAGAATATAATTCTAACAATTCAATTAACATAATATTAAAATCAAATTACGAAGAACCATCGAAGAGACTTTGTCGATCCTTCCACTGTTTCCCCAATCCCGCCACCCCTCGCCAATTTATTTCCAGACAATTTGCGGTTGAAAACAGTTTGATCGTCGAATCCCTCTAATTGCCGCAACAGCGGGGCTGAGATTAATAAAACACAGCTCGTTCCTGTTTCGCTGATTTTCATTTCACGAACCGTGCTCTGCGATTTTTCCGCTCGATTTAAAATGGGGCGACCGGAAATCTTTCCTCCCCCATTCCATCGATTTGTTCGAGTAATAAGCGATTTATTGCCGGCCAATTATCATAATTGATTTAGAGGGGAATCGACGGAGGGTGGAGAGAAATTTTGGCATCGTTCTGGTTCCTCGTTAATGCATCGTTAATGTAAAAGCTAAATCACTCCCACAGGACGTCGCGTGCTTGTTAAGGGAGTCGTTGGTTGGCGATGGAAAAATGGAGATTTTTTTTTTTTTTTGGTTAATGGTGTAAGTGTTAAATTTGATGAAAAGAATCAATTTTTATTTTACTTTATATATTTTGTTTTTAATATTCTTTTTTATTGTTTTTTGATTCTTATAATAATTTAATTTTATAAATTATCTTATTCATAACATGAATTGATTATTGGAAAAAAAATTAAAGACAGAATTTAAATTATGATTTTATATCTTATTTCAGCAGATATTTGTTTTGTATTTTGTGTAGTTGAAATATCGATCAATTTTTATAGTGTAAATATAATGAAATGTTGTTTGTTTTTATTTAATTGAAAAAATGGATTTATCTTTGTTCATATTTATATAAATTCGTTTTTTTTTTCGATTCGATAAAACTATCCAAAATTGTATGCACCAATTTTATTCACTAGAATCGTACCATCTTAAATTATTCACCAAAATTTTAAATTCACTAGAATTTTAAATTAATATATACTATCTCTTATCTCTTTTTCTTCCATCTGTTGTGTTCTTTCAAATCTATAATTTTACTTTTTAAAATCAGAATCTATTGAATCCTTAATAAAAACTATTATACGAAATTATAAAATAACAGAATCCATCAAATTTATCTTTTTTTTTTCTATTCACTCCCACATATCTATTTAAAGCTACGTTTTCATTCCGTTGTAACCGAAATTGCACTAGTTCGCTTTTTAAAAATCGACCTATAACCTCAAATTGACCAAACAGTCACGATCTTCAATGGCCGACTAAATTCGTTATAAAAAGTAGATTTTTCCGTGTTTCGTTAAACGAGGGTTACAAAGTGTATACCGGAACGAGAGGAAAATTTAATAATCGACTATTCGCAGAAGCGATATAACGGGACATCGTAAACGCGATGGAGAAAGGGGTCGTAAGAAGGTATGATCTCGAGAAAGACGAGACTCGGTGGTGGGCACGTACGTTTCCTTATTCGCGAGCAAAAGCTTCACATGAACAACCGTCTAAGATTAGAATCGTTCTCGTCGGCACTTTCGTCAATGTAACTTGCAAGAACTGTTATCGTTGAAATTCCACCGAGACGAGAGACGTATACGATATTGGGGTCCATGAGATCCAGTTTTGCGAACCTGGATGGGCTGTTGGAAAGGAATTTTGCGATGAGCGTCGTATAAAAGGATTATAAGAAGGTAAATAGTATTTGGCATGTTATGGAGAATTTTCGAAAATGAAACTTTAACTATTCGTAATAGCGAATTATGAAATGTTTGGATTTAGGTTAGATTTTGGATTGAGAAAGATAGTGTTGTAGATTAATGTGAAATAGTTTATAAAAACATGTTTGAGATGTTAGAGGAAGAATTTTTTAAGATGAAAATATGTGTAGTTATAATAGTTGATTGTAAAATTTTTAGATTTAGGTCAGATTTGTCTATCTATATAGATTGGATTGTGTTGATTATAAATGATTTGTTATGAGAATGTATTTATATGAATGTATATATGAAATGAAGATAATTTAGTTGATGGATTATGAGATGTTTAGATTTAGGTTAGATTTGCTTAGATAAAAATTCTTGTAGATTAATGTGTGAATACTGAGTTATGAAAATGTATTTACATATTATGGATTTTTAAAGATAAAAATATGTATAATTATAATGAGATCTTTAGATTTAGGTTAAATTTTAACTTTAGTTAGATTTGAATTTAAGATGAATAATTTAAAGATAAAAATATGTGTAATTATAATGAAATGTTTTGATTTAGGTTAAATTTTGACTTTAGATTTGAAAACTTTATATGGATTAATATGAATAATGATTTATAAAAATGTGCTTAGATTATAAATTTTTAAAGATGAAAATATATATAATTATAGTGATATATATAATATATATATCGATATATATAAATATATATAGATTGTAAGATTAATAAATGTAGATCAGAATGTATTTAGGGTATTTATTTGGATTGAAAAAGATATTATTCTTGACTATTATACAGAGACTATGGAATATTATGGAGAATTTTTTAAGATGAAAAGAGTTATATAGTAGATCTTTGAATTTAGATCAGGTTTAAAATAATTTGTTTGAATTGAAAAAGATAATATTACTGATTATTATAAATTATGAACAAATGTTTAATATTATGAAAATTCTTTGGAAATATATTGATAATGTTTTAAAAACAGTTATAATAGATTATGAAATCTTTGAAAAGATTTCATAATAACATTTGCAATAATCTATTTGAACTGAAAATAAGTTAATGTAGTTGACATTATCTCAGCTTATGTGGAAAAAGAACATAATAGATTTGTGAAAAAATTTAACTATAATAACTTATTATCATTCGAAAATCTTATCTTTTTACCAATTTTTATTTTAATATATAATATTTAATAATATAAGAAATCATAATTTATCATAATTTTTTTTTTCAAAAATAAGTATATTTTTATTACAAATTGACAAATATTAATTGTAGAACTTAACCTAACTTATATTATTATATTGTCCTCAAATAATGTCTTATTATTATTATTATTATTATCTATCAGTATATAGATGTAAATCAATGCAGATAGTGCATCAATTGTATTTCGCAATGTTCTTTCATTTATCTAGAAATATTTGCAAAATCTTTGTCATAGAATGATTCGATATTGATAAAAGACGAAATAATAAAGGGTTTAATCATTCCAAATGAAATTTTTCTAGAAAATTTCTGATATTTCAATTTATAACTCGGTAAAACTCGTTGTTTCTGGTCGTTCGTTATATTCGGTTATCAATTATCGTGACCCAATTTCCATGATCCAGAAACGTCGTTTTAAATGGCATCATTATAGTGGCAAAGATAATAAAGGAAACAATTCAATTGTCACGATCCTGAATATTGAAAATTGCTTTTTAAATTCATGGAACAGATGATCCTTTTTCTATTTATATCACTAATATTTTAAATTAGAATTATAAAAGTAGATTCGAAGTTGGTCGGATTGAAAATAACGATAATTAGATTATTTTATCGCGCGTCTGGGAATAATTAAAATTATTTTGATAGCGAGAATTGCATAATATATATTGGTTGAGAAAAATCCCACAGGCAATGGAAATTCTGTCGCGTAGTGATAAATGGATATATATATATGTGTGTGTGTGTGTGTGTGTATACTAGAATATGCATTCTTTATAAATGAAGAATTTTATTGAAGATAAATCCATTCCAATAGAATAATAGAAAATATTAAAAATTGAACAAATATTGGATTAAGAATTAGCGTGTATCTTTATATATAACATAAAGGCAACTTTACTTCACAAAATTAATAAAATATTTATTCCAACATTCCTTCATTCTTTATTTCTAATTAATTTCATCTCTTCGAAAAATTCTTTCATACACGTATAATCCATTATTATTACTCTGCACCGAAGTATATTTTTATCCTTGTAAGATACGAAGGTAAAACTTTTTCGCGATTACACTCAAAATCAAACTATCATCAGTTTTAAAATTGAAAAGAGAGAAGAAAAGAAAAGCATAGGCAAAAGAAGCAGAATACAAGAGGAAAAGAAAAAAGAGGATATATCCATTTTCTTCTTATGTAGACAACCCTTTTAAACCTTATCCTACGAAATTCGCGATGAGTTTTGCAAGCGGAGGGAGCACTAAGAGAAAACAAAGAGGCAGGAAGAAGCGTGCACACGGGCGACCAAGTTCCCAAGGGAGGAATTCGTAGTGGAGAAGTAAAGCTTCTTCGGTGTGGCCGCGTTCCCTTGAATTACTGGTGTCTCAGCGCCCGGGGAAAAATACCCTGAGCAGGGATCGCATAAATGCTGAATGAGACGCAAAAGTAGGAATGAACAACGTAGCTTGTTTCTACCCCGTCTGGTTTCTAAAATGCGTGCACGATGGATCCTGTTTCACAAATTCGCTTTAGAGCTTGTTGGAAAATTTATCGTTTCTTTCGTTCGGTTTGGAACGAGACCATTTCTCAAAATTTAAATAGACGATATTTATTTTAAATATCGCGTGTTTTAATTGTGATATGTATAATTTTCAGTTTTAACATTAGAGAGATTTCATTTTTTTTTTTTGAATGAGATTACATTTGAATTTTAGTACTCCCGCAATAAATTTTTAAAACATTTTTCCACGAAAATTAAATTCCCTTCTGTTTTTACAAAATTTTCCCCACCAATTTATAATAAGTTATAATTTATATTTTCCAATATTTTATCGCCTATCATTTATTAATCTTCACGTAAAAATATATAATCATTCCCTTAAAATAAAATGGTACCGTGAATCAATACAAAATTTTACAAAATTTTATCGTGTATCGGTCATCAATATCCCCTTTTTCCCAAACGAAACCTCCATTCATTTTCATCGTCATAAATAATTATTCTCCCTTAGAAAAAATAAAAAATTATTAAAATTTCGATATTCCCTCCTCTTCCAAATATTAGATAAAACTCTATCTCTTTATTCATCGCTGTTATCACCATTTCACCTATTGCAACAACCCCTGTCCCAATTTCTTTCTTCCTTTTTTTTTCCTTCTTTTTTTTTTTTTTTTTTTTACTAATAACAAACACACGATACACGATCCCCGATAAATTGGATTACCGTGTACCGGCGGAATTCACGCGGATAAAGGCGGAGCGGCTCGTGACAGAGGAGGATTCGTCGGATGACATTTTGCAAGGATAATTCGAGAGAAAATTCGTCGAACACCCGATGTACATTGTGCCAGTGTACACGCTTTGCGTGCAAACGCGATTTTCTATTGTCGACGGCCGCGTATTGTCCATTATTTAATTACAGAAAATTAGCGAACGATAAATGGCCGGCTTATTAATGCACAGAGCCCGATGATATTTGATAATCCCATTGCGTTTGAGCAATTGGAGATATTTATTACAGGCCGTGAAGCCTTATTCGTTTGTGAACTTTGTCCGCCATTAATTCTCTCTAAATCTGTATCTTTTTGATCTTATTTTGGTTTTCCTTTTTTTCTTTTTCTTCTATAATTCTTCTCGCGCCTTTTCTTCGAATTGATCATCATTGGAGAATGAAAAGTTTTGGTAAATTTATTTTAGGATGACATAGATTCTTCTGTAATATAATTGTGAATTGAATTGAAGATTGAAAATTGAAGATTCTTATACCTTTCTGAAGAAAGATCAGAATTGACAAGAATCAATTTTTCATTTCTTCGGTAGACGGAGAAAGGATTCTTTTTTCTTTTTTTTTTTTTTTTTTTTATTATTAATTTTATCGACATAAAAGAGTTTTAACGATCTTTAATTATATTCATATAACGTATCCATACGAGTATCTCTTCACGCAGTTTAGTAGAACTTTGATGAGATTAATCCTTACACGATGAAGAGATAACGTTGAAAAATATCTGTGAATAATCATTCAGGTCACGTATTCGTGCAATTTGACAATTTTACGTCGAAGTTAAACAAGTTAGCTCATGGCAAGATTAGACACAAGTTGCATTGTAAACACCAACTTCCACCCTTGTAAACTTGCGCAAAGAAATTTCTTCGTGTTGCGGGCAATCCAATGAAACGAACAACTTCTTGTTGGTCTTTCGAACAATCAAAAAGATATATACTTGATATATCTGTGACACAGAGAAGAATGGAGACCAATACGTGATCTAAAATCGCTTGTAACAACAAGATGCGTAAATAAATATCCAGAATTTTCAATAATCCTTTTAAAACTTAATAATATATTCGCGATTTCTCATCACACATATACTTTTACTCTTCGCATATGCTTTTATTATACCTGTTCATTTGAAAAATGAATTGCTTTCAATTTCTTTGACACGTCATCAAAGATGGAGAATACCACGTACATTTGCGTTAAGTATACACGCATACAAAAGTATTAAAACCGACACTTGGCGTAATATTTATAAGATAATCGGATCAATTGTGGCAATAAATGTTGGGAACGCGATATTATTGATAAAGTCGAATTAACGGCATCGGCCGGCAGATAAAATTGCAAAGTAGCTTAATCTCGTCGTTGCAAATTACTCTCATCCGGAACGATGGGGGGGAGGGGGGGGGGAATAAAAAATATAACGAATCGGTTTTTTCCTCGCTTATTTCTCCCCGCGATAGATATTTCGAATATTAAAAAAAAAAAAAAAAAAAGGAATAAATAAATATTTTAAAAAAACAAGCCATCATAGAGTAATAAAAAAAAAAGAAAATTGTTTGTAAAGTCACGAATCATTATGACGTGAAATTCAAACAAGTTACATTTCACGAAATGAACAGAGACGGGAATAGCACAATTGTTTATGTCTTTTTTTTTTTTTTTTTTTTTAATTATAGTTTTGAAACGTAACTAAAAATGATTCGAAGGTAGAAAACGTTGTATTGAAATATCTGCAACCTTTATCACGACGGACGACGATCTGATGAAACGTGTTCGTGTTTGAAATATGTTCGCATTGTTGATATTTTGTGGCGGAGAATCGAAATTCGTTTCGTTACATGGTGTTGTCATGCGTATAAAAGAAAAAAGAAAAAAAAAAAAAAAACAACGAGAAAAATAATCGTGTAATAATGCTTTCACGTTACACATATAACGTATAATAAAATCTTTTAATTTATAAATCTGTAGAATTAATTAATAGAACTTATATATAATTATTATTCGAAGATGAATCACCATGAATTACTTTTCACATGATTGATCTCTATGGATTACAAAATTACGATATATTACATCAAATTTTCCTCTCTTGAATATTCACGTATATTATATTCACGTATTCGTGAATTGTTCGAGATATATGCGTGTACGTGGATAGAAAATATTTGTTTTAATTTCCTCATGAGATGGAAAATTTGATAGGAGGGAATAATCTAAACCACATAAAGGTTGAGGAGGAGCTTAGTTCCATTTATCGAATGTATGCTCGAGCTGGCAGGACAGGCACTCTTAATTAATTAATTAATCGATCGAGTTCACGTGCGCCGGAAATGCCAAATTAGTATCCTCTCGTTTCTACGAATCGAAATTGCTGGTTGAATCATTTATAAATTTCGTCGAAATTCTTTGTCCCGAAAAAATACATTTTCTCGATTGCACTTTGCTCGCTGTATTAATTCCATCGATATTTTCTTTTTCATTGAATTTACACTAACACAATATATTTTTTTTTGTTTCAGGTACTGTCCATGCGTATTAATCCGAAGCTTAATAAAATTAGTAGAAAATTCCTTAAGGAGGCTATACATTTCGGAACAGCATAATAATTGTAAGTAATTCTAAATTATTATTTTTTAAAGAATAATCAAATTCTTCTTTCTAATTTTTTAATCTTTAATATATCATTACGAAGATCGTTGTAAATAATATTCTTCTAGATGTAACTATATCTGTCGAGTAATTTACACCTTAAAATTTCACATTAAAATTAAGAAAACTTTAAACCGTTATAACTTCGAAGATAATGACTTCAAATCAACGAATGAAAGATCATTAGAAGCGCGAAACCTTGCTCTTTAAAACGCTTTTTAATTTATCTCGATACGACTTCCGCTTCTCGAGATATCGTCGTGTAAAGAGAAAGATAATTTTTAATCGTTCAACCATCTTCTTATCGGTTGCTCGAATCTCTCGCTCGCCTCACCTAGACCTATCCCAAACTGCAGACAAACGGTTCTAGAAGAACGTAATACACATTTCCAGGAAAAAAAGTTACGAGTTCATCCATAATTTCTGCACTGTCTTAATCGCTATGAATACTTGGAAACCTCGTATCTCGCCAATGGTTCGAGATAAACAGCGACTTCAATTGCGTTTCTCTCTATTTCTTGAGTGGCTTTCGATGACAAAATTTTTAATTTTCTTCTCATATTTTCATTACGTGAAAATTTCTTAATTGCCTTCACGTTGGATTTCAATGTGTTTGTGATATGAACGTTCAACGGATATAAAATATATTACAATTGAATACAATTTATAAAGATTTCGTCTAACTTTTCCAAAGGTGATGGAAAAAAAAAAAAAAAGGAAAGAAATTCGTAAAAATTAGCGCCATCTTAGCAACGATGGCGGTCGATCGAGAACAATTATTGGATGGGTTTGCTCGACTGTGCCAACACACTCGAGCGAAACACGAGACGGGATGAGCGGCGTTAACCGGATAACGCGGAAAATTGAAAGGATGAATTATTGACAGGGTGGCCGCGCCCCCCGTACCAACCCCCACCGCCGAGGTGAAACACGATGTTCCATTACTTTTTAACGCGCTTCGAAATCGTTGATCATCGTTGACCCGTGCTCGATTCGCCGGAAACGAGCCGTTTTCTCCGCCCGATCGCGCGCTTTTTCGCGCCTAGATGCCCCGCCGACGAAGACACGGATGGATACGATTTTCGGTCGTTCCCCTTTTTTTACGCAATTCGAAGATTCGTCGAATGATTTATTCGTTGACTGTGGAAAATATGCGTGTCGAGTGGGAATGGTTCGAGCTTCTAATAAATTCTTATCGATGTCAACAAGATAATACGATATAATACGAAGACGTGAAATTAACGGGAATACATTTTGTTGAGTTTATTAGAATGATAAAATCGTAACCCATGTTGCAACTTTTCTTCCTGCCAACGGGAAGCTTTAAATCCCAATTTCCTCCTCCAGTCCATGAAAATAAAAGAATTCTCGACGCTTCTTCTAATGAAACTCACCAGAATAATAGAAACGTTAGGATCATAAAACTACAAATCATTAAAATTAGCATCATAAAAACAATTGGAAAATTGAAATAAAATAAAAATAACGGAGCACGTTTAATGAGCCAATTACCTTCGACGCCTCATTAAACATGGGACACGTGACGTCGAAAAATCTCGTTGAAACGTGGCAAAAACCTGCAGCGGAGTAAAGATGAATGCAGTTTCGGTCGCAGAAGAAATCGCGAGGGGGGGGAAAAAAAGGCAGAGAATTCCCTCCAACCGTGGATCGCGAATTTTCCCGATTTTCTCGGGCATAAATCCAGCGTCCGCTTTTTTTTTTTTTTCCTTCTTTTTCTACAACGCCAACTCGCGCTTTTTAATAAAACCATTCGACCACTGTGCCTCTCCTGATGAAATATCGTCTCCAGCGTTCTCGACCCACGCGGCTACCCCCTTCTTCCGGTCATCCACCTGCGCACGGTGACCAACACCGTCCCTCGTTCGTTCGAAATTGATGAAATTGCTGCTCGAAGCTTGTTTAATCATCGTTAAATACGATAACGCGACACGCATGAGCTCGCATCTCCTTATTTTTTTTTTTTCACTCTTGCGTTTTCAATTCCTCTTCCTTTTCCTCCTTTTTATTAATTCTCTCTCTCTCTCTCTCTCTCGATTCGATTCGAAATTGAAATCTTAAGACCTCTTTTCTTTTTTTCTTTTCGATTCATTCGAAATTTCGAAAAAGTAATCGAACGTTGCTTTCCTCTTCTTCTATCCAATTAATAATCTGAATCAATATTTCACCGTGCAACAAATGAATCAATCCACGAATTTTTCGCTCGTTCGCCGTAAAAAAAAATTCTCTTCCTTTTTTCTTTTTCCATCACGAGTCAAAAGTTATCGCTCTTTCGAGCGTCCCAAAGAATCGTCCCTCGTGGCTCCACGCGCCTGGAATCGGATTTCCATCTCGCCCTTCGCGCGTCGAACGATCAACCGGGGCTGCTCGTAATTTCCGCGGGATCGCAATTTTCCCTCGCGCCGGAAACGTTTAAAACGCCCCTCTTGGCCCCGCCCATTAATGCCATACGTTCTCTTTCGTTATGAATATTCTCACCCTTCGCGCACGTGCTGCGGCCTCCGTTTCCATCGAGAAAGAGAGAAGGAAAGAAGGAAAGAGGAGGAAAAAAAAGAAAGGAGAGGAGAATATCCCCGCTCGGAATTATTAATTAATTAATTTTGGAGATACGTTAATTTTCTTGGAAATCTGATTGGTTTTATATTTTATTTGCATATCTCTCTCTTTTCTTTTTTTCTTTTAATTTTAGCTCACAATCAGTTTGGATCCTCGAAATTCTCTCTCTCTCTCTCTCTCTCTCTCTATTGCGTTTTTTATGATTGGATATGAATGAAGTTACTTTTCGCGTTCATACAAAGATACAAAGATCGTAGTATTTTATTTATAAATATTGGGAGGAAATAAGTTTCGATTAAAAATATATATATTTAATCGGATATCCATTAAAGATATCGAATATGGGCGTCACTCGTACGAGGAACAGGGACACGCGTCGACAAATTTGTTTTCAAATTAATCTGCGTTACAGCGGGAAAGATAATAAAAAAAAAAAAAGGAAAAAGTTGTTCTTTCGAAGAATTGAAAGATGGCGGATAAGCGCGCGCAACGAATGAACGAAACAGGGGGGGGGGGAGGAGAGAGTTTCGGAAAAGTGAGGTCCGACTCGATCGGTAACCGGATTGAATTTAAATTCCTTATCGATCGAGCGATCCGGTCTTGGATATCGTTTATTTTTATCTGAATACGTAGCGTATTGCTGATTGGACAATCTCGACGCCCGAATTTCTATCGAATTCGCAACTTGTTGATTCATTTATAGGATTTGGCAATCGCCGCTGTGCCACGCCAACTTTTGCACATCGTACCTTTTGGTCCCCATCTCGGTCCAACGATCGAAACGACACGAATTTCAATATCTGTTTTCAGGATCCTTCTTTCAGGATATCTATTTTTAATTCGATTCGATCGGTCGAGGTGTAAGTTTTCTCTTTCATTTTTAGTTTAATTCGAAGCGTATCTCGATGATTTCGTTGCGAATGGATATTGCAGGTTTTTTTTATTCGTTATTTTTTTTCGCTTTGTCGCTTTTATTGGGATAGATAATGGAATTTTCTCCACCGCGAGCTCTCTCTATGAGCTCTTCTCTAATCTAATCTTCTTTGATTGGTACGAATATTTTGCGAATAAGATTGATCCGAACGTAGAATTGTACGATATGAATTTTTGGAATGATTATAGCATTGTGTGTATTCCACGTTTTTTTTTCGCTTCGTCGAAAATATTAATTTTTTTAAAATTAAATTACGTATTTATAGTTTTTTTTTTTTAGTAATTAAAAGGAAATACTTATTAATTTCTGGGAAACGATTTCTCTTTCTGTGAAATTAATTGGAATTCAGTGGAATGTACACGTTTGTAGTCCATACAAGTCGGTTAATATTAATTAATTACGAACGCGATTTAAAAATCAATAATATTTTTCCGTCGTAATTTTCGTTCAAACTCCATTCGTACTATTTTTTAAGGATTCTTTTTATAAATTTCCTATAAATCTAATTAAATTCACGCTTGCCAATTGACAAAACACGACAAATACAACGAAAATAGACGAAAATTCTTCATCAAAAAAATATATATATCCGCCAAATTATTCGCGACAGAATTATAATAATCGAATGGCACGTGACACACGCCATTCCATATCTCTGCTCCCCATCGATCGATCGATCGATCGATCGAGGCCATTTACCGACATCCGTGCCAAACGTTCCCAAACGCCATGTTGCGTTCGGGACAACCGTGATTTAATTTAATCAGTCTCAATTCCATCCATCCATCCATCGTCGGCCGATCGATTCATAATCCGTCCTCAAACAATTTCACCGATCTTCTCGCTGGAAGAAAGACTGGATATCGCCGTTTCCGAAAACCAAGGGTATCCCTTGTGGAACTCCTTCCACAATTTCAACCAACTTGGTCCACTTACATCTGCAATCCGGATTCAATAAAGCGCCGCAAAAGGACGACATGGACGACGATCGATCAACGAAAGCGTAATGAAATACCTTTCGAATCTTAAATCCCTGCCCGCGGGATTCTTTGCTTCCTCTTCCTTTTTTTTCTTCTCCCCCCCCCCCCCTCCTATTCCTCGAAGAAGAGAAAACTTTCGAATAGTTGGCGATAACACGGATAACCCGGAGGAAGGTGGCACGCCCTCCTCTCTCTCTCTCTCTCTCTTGTTTCACGATTTTCTTTTCGCTCCTTCGAACTGCATACCTGTGTCGGTATGTGTAACTGGAAGGAATTTCTAGATGGAAGTTTTTTGGAGGGGGAGAGGGAGAAGTGGCGAAGAAATAGTTGGGAAGAAGTGGCAATAGGGGAAATGGGAATGGACGGGGGAGGAAAGTAATATGGAAAAATGTTTGAGAAAGAGTAAATGATTGTGAAGGATATTTTTTAGAGAAGAGGAGATGTTAGAAGGGGAGGGGGAAAAGAATATGAATTTCTAAAGATACGAAAAGTATAGGGATTCGGAGAAAGAAATGGGAAACAGATTGGATAATAAAAAGAGATAAAGAAGGAAGGAAGGAAATTTTAAGCGGAGGGATGAGAGAAAAATTTAGTGGAACGGATATCTTTTAGATAGAATACAACACAAAATAGAGAATTAAAGAAGAATGGGTGAAAATTAGAAATGGAAATGGAAGGGAAAAAAGGGACGAGAGAGCGGAAAGGACGGAATATTAATAGATTATTAAAGGGACAAAAAAGAAACAGAGAGAGTCGAAGCGGTATGTAAAAAGAAAAAAAAAAGAAAATAGGGAGAAAGGATGAAACATTGCGATAGTGAAAAATAGAGGAGGTGGAAGAAGAACGTGAAACCGTGAGAAAATCAAAAAAGGTAAAAAGTGAAATAGCGAAAAACTGGGGTGGCTGTGGAAAAAGGAGGAAACGGATAGTGAAATATTGTAGCAATAAAAAAAATAGCAAAATGTC